CATGATTACCGTGATAAAGGTGAAACAATGTTACATTACAGTAACATGATTACCGTGATAAAGGTGAAACAATGTTACATTACATGTTACTGTAATGTAACATTGTTTCACGGTAATCATGTTACTGTAATGTAACATTGTTTCACGGTAATCATGTTACTGTAATGTAACATTGTTTCACCTTTATCGCGGTAATCATGTTACTGTAATGTAACATTGTTTCACCTTTATCACGGTAATCAGTAACATGATTACCGTGATAAAGGTGAAACAATGTTACATTACATGTTACTGTAATGTAACATTGTTTCACCTTTATCGCGGTAATCATGTTACTGTAATGTAACATTGTTTCACCTTTATCACGGTAATCAGTATATATATATATATATATAATTATACATTATTTTTGCATCATAAATACCGGATTATGAAACTTTATATACATGACATTCCCATCATATGACGATTTTAACTTGTTTTAACGGTATAAATAATTTGAAAAACGATACCGTAATAGTTTAATTTTATTTTCAGAATTCTTATGTTCAATATTTCGTCGCTTTTGGCCTGTACCATATTTGGGTTTAAAATGTAACGTGTAATCCGTCGCAATGTGATTCACTAGATCACATAGTACTTTTATGAATTTTTCTCTAAAGATACGATATTCAGATGCAACAAATTGATACATAAAGACAAGTGCTTTTATATATTAAAGACTTAGTTATAATTTCTGTAGGTACTCTTTAAAAATTAAAGGTATTATCAGGGGCGGATAGCTCGGATTAGACGGGCCAGGGTCTAAATTTTTCTACCGGGCATATTATGATCACAACTGAAGAGTAAAGTAAAGTAAAGAAAAAACAACCCCCACTAACTCTCAAGATATGTTTTATTTTTGGAGACAATGGGAAAACAACACCCCCAAATATGCAAGACTCGTCTACAAATTAATGAACAATATTAGATGTTTCTTAAAGAGGAAAAGTGGTGCTCTAACACAGAGCACACACACAAACAAACGCTTAGATCACATCGGTACTAGCATAGTATGCCTAGCAGTAATATCAAATCAATCAACATGCTAAGCATATAGTCCTTGAGGGAGGTCCTGTGGACATTCTGATGCTCGGAAAATTACTCTTCGTATATCATAATGGTATCATATGAGGTTCTTGCTTGTTTGAAGTTAAGCACAAAGCTACACAATGGGCTATCTGTGCTCTGCCCACCACGGGTATCGAAACCCGGTTTCTAGCGTTGTAAGTCCGCAGACATACCGCTGTGCTACTGGGGGGCCATATGAGGTTCATAAAAATCCAGGCTAAACATTTTGGAACTGGCAATAAGGGAGAAATTAATGATGGTTGCTGAGAGGGGTAAATAGCCATAACTGATGTTCTAGAGTATATAGCAAAATGATTTAAGGCGTCTAGATATAGGTTTTGGAGGTCAAGGAATATATTTATGATGTAATACATGAAATTAGTCCTTAGCAGTATGAGAAATTCAAGATGGCCACCATCACATGCAATAAAGTGCCTTTCAGGAGACAAAGGTCTTGTTCAAGCTGTCTATTTCATGTGATTGGAACTTTAATAATTGCAAAAAATATTTTCAAAATATACCCAGATATCAATAAATAAATAAATACTAAATATAAAAACATTACAAGGCACACACCTCTTGAGAGGTGTTGAAGACACTACAAGGCACACACCTCTTGAGAGGTGTTGAAGACACTACAAGGTACATACCTCTTGAGAGGTGTTGAAGACACTACAAGGTACATACCTCTTGAGAGGTGTTGAAGACACTACAAGGTACATACCTCTTGAGAGGTGTTGAAGACACTACAAGATACATACCTCTTGAGAGATGTTGAACACACTACAAGATACATACCTCTTGAGAGATGTTGAAGACACAACAAGATACACACCTCTTGAGAGATGTTGAAGACACAACAAGATACACACCTCTTGAGAGATGTTGAAGACACAACAAGATACACACCTCTTGAGAGGTGTTGAACACACTACAAGATACACACCTCTTGAGAGGTGTTGAACACACTACAAGATACACACCTCTTGAGAGGTGTTGAACACACTACAAGATACACACCTCTTGAGAGGTGTTGAACACACTACAAGATACACACCTCTTGAGAGGTGTTGAACACACTACAAGGTACACACCTCTTGAGAGGTGTTGAACACACAACAATGTACATACCTCTTGAGAGGTGTTGAACACACAACAATGTACATACCTCTTGAGAGGTGTTGAACACACTACAAGATACTTACCTCTTGAGAGGTGTTGAACACACTACAAGATACTTACCTCTTGAGAGGTGTTGAACACACTACAAGATACTTACCTCTTGAGAGGTGTTGAACACACTACAAGATACTTACCTCTTGAGAGGTGTTGAACACACTACAAGATACATACCTCTTCACACCTTGGCTCACTAATTAGGAACAGAAATGTGCCAATATTTGCCTGCCCTGGGAATGACAATTAATAAAGCTGCAGCACTAACAACAAACCCATTAGCCTCATTGTCTCAAGAACATTTTTGACCTCACTTCTGGATCTAATTGCCATATTAACTTGCTAAAACTGAGGCAAGTTATATTTTACTTTCACTACGTTCATTGTCTCAATTAACACTTTGACCTCACTTCTGGATCTAATTGCCATATTAACTTAGTGAAATTGAGGCAAGTTATATTTTACTTTCACCAAAATAATCCTACTTATGATACAAGTTATTGTAACATCATTCTTTTGTTGGAATAGTTTATTTAAATTATCTGGTGAAAAATATGGCCTAGTCCAGTTCACTTAATGATGACAAATTAATTTATTTCTCCCTTAACATTTCTACAAACTGTCTTCACTTGCATACTGTAGTTACTTGTACACCTAAAGTTATAAATCAAGTTTAAATGAATATACCTCTCTAACGGTACTACAACTAATGTAAAATTAAACTCATTTGTACAATTTCATGAATAATTGATTGAGTAACAATATATGTGAAAACTAAAACTGATCCAAATACTTTACAAAAAATAATTACTTAACTCTAAGACTGGCAGTCTTTCAACTAAAAAAAAACAAAACTACTCAATGCTTCACTGATTCATTGCTAACTTACTAATTGAATAGCCCATTGTATTTATATTTGATGTCTCAATTTTAGATAATTGTCAAAGTTACTAGATTTTTGTGATGTCATCTAGAGTATTCTAGTCCAGTGTTTCTCGACCATCAGTCCACGAACCAGTGCCAGTTTGTTACAACCATCATGCCTGTCCGTGGGATTTCACAAAAATATACAAAAACTAACGTAATATTTACATGCAAGTCATTATGGTTTTTCACTGTACTCTTACAGTTTAGGCAGGCAGGAAGCCAGTTCCTTGTATTGAAAGGGTTGAGAAGCACTGTCCTAAGCCTACATTAATGTTATGCACCTTCTAGCTACCATATAAAATTAAAACGCTAAATATATAGTTTAAAAAAATTATTGTTTCTCTGCAAAGTACGACAGAATTCTTGATACAACTTTTCTGGGGAATGTTTTTTCTAATAATTTATTATTCTGGTTAAACATGGTTACATATTGATAAAGAAAAAATCTAGAATTTAAAAACTTCATATTTATACAGAAAAACAAATATTTCCATAACAAAGACTCAGTTGTTTAATGGAGGAATTAACTCATATTTATCAGTGGATCCTCCAAACTCCAAGAGATGTTTTAGCAGTTGCTGTGGATTAAAACGATAGCTGATAACAAGGTATCTCCCAGATCCCTGTCCTCCTCGACTGATGCTTTTCAGGTGAAGTTTGTCAGCAATTCTAAACACAAAATTATGTTTATCTTAATACACTTCAAACTTAATTCCTTTTGTACTAACTTAGTATATTCAGATATTTTTCTATGTATGTAGACAATGGTTTCTAATGATGCATATTGGAAGATATCTTACAATCACAAAATAAAAATAGACCTATACACAAATTTATAAGTGAAGTGAATAATATACTGATATGACGACCATAATGATAATAAATGATTAAATGAACAAAGAAGATCAAATCAGTAAAGACAAAATTAATTATTAATTTATTAGAAATGGAAATAGTTTGTACAGAAACAAAATCTATAGTTTTTGTTTTAATACAATTTTTGAGAAAATACCACAATTCAAAGTAGAATTATTAGGTAAATAGGTTTTGGAATTATTATTTTAGTGTTTATTTGTAGTTTAAACTACTTGCACATAAAGCTAAAAATGAAGATAAAATATGAAACTAAACCTATGAATTTCTTTCCGTTCTTCTTTGGTGAACTCTGGAGAAAATGCAAGGTCAAAGAAAGAGCCAGATTTTTTATAGTTCATAAGTATTTCTTTTATTCTGGAATTAAATTCTTTTGTGACGCTTCTTTCTCTTGAATAGCCAAGTCCTTCTCTTTTATATACATCTTTTACACTACAAGGAAAATACAGGAATTTTTTATAAGTCTATGACGAAAAATTCTTTCACGGAGCTCAGAAGAATGGTTCTAATCTTACTAAATGCTGTTTAGATATTCCACTTTGATAACTAGTGCTTAATTTACAAATTCTATTTGAAATGTTAAAGAAATACTGCTTGTAGTTTGGATGTAATATTTTAATGTGAAATTGCAAGATATAAATTTATTTGGAGTTAATCACTCCAACTGAAATATAAAGAAAATTATTACGAATTTTTTTAAACAGAGATATTTGGTTGAGGTTTTACTCTGTGTGTATCTGGCTTCATTCGTCATCAATTAATTCTTTAATTGATTAATGAAAGCAAATATTTTAAGTGATTCTGCGATTATAAAGTTATATATATATGGCAAGTACGAGCATTTTCCTAATGTTTAAAGATAACTTCAAATTCCCAACATATTTAAAGGGTCAGGTTGCGGAAACTCTTAAAAAGGCACTGACTACCTTTTCAGTGCAGAAACAATGTTTAAAGTTCAGATGAAATATACTGTTCAAAACAAATTAAGATTTTCTATTTTATAACAATGACAAACATGAGTACCATTACTAAATAATGTCAATAACATCGGAGAGTTAATTTTAAAGCAAAGATGGTGCCAGTAACCAGGAGTTTGATCAGCTCGGACACTAATGCAAGCCATACATCTATATAGCATGGATAAAATGAGGGAACAACCGAGCTTCTTTGGTAATATGCCCCACTTTTCTTTCAGTTAATCAATACTGTTTGGAGATAAATTATGTATTGCCAAGCTTATTCCTACATCATTCCATATATGTTCAATTGGATGTAAATCTGGGTAGAGTACTATGTAGTTGAACATGGTGAGAGCACATGTTATAATCCATTAGAAGAAAGTTCTGACCAACTGAATATGTATATGGTAACACTAATATTTTCAAGACTACCCCCACCAATCCATTAGAAGAAAGTTCTGACCGTGTTACCATATACATATTCAGTTTAATATTTTGAAGACTACACCCACCAATCCATTAGAAGTTCTGACCAACTGAATATGTATATGGTAACACTAATATTTTCAAGACTACCCCCACCAATCCATTAGAAGAAAGTTCTGACCAACTGAATATGTATATGGTAACACTAATATTTTCAAGACTACCCCCACCAATCCATTAGAAGAAAGTTCTGACCAACTGAATATGTATATGGTAACACTAATATTTTCAAGACTACACCCACCCACCCCATATTGCATGGCATTCACTGAGCCATGTCACAGAACAATGAAGATTAGTGTGGTAGCCAATACTCTAACGTGCCAAACCAGTATGCCATCCCCACTATAAACTTGTCTTTCCTTGATGAAATTGGTGATTGATCTGATCCCAGCCATACTCTACATCAGGGATGGGCAAAATATGGCCTGTGGGCCTGATCCAGCTCATCTAACATTTCTGTCCTGCTCACCAGGACTCCTGGTAATTTTGGAAAGAACATAATGAGGTCTTTATACAATCGTAATATAGTCGAAATGTGCAACCAAAATACGTGGTAAGTAAATGTGACTCATCTGTGAATAAGTTATTCACCTATGGATCATTTGACCAATCACATTTTCTTTTCACTACCGTAAAAATTATATTATGTGGCAATGGGTTAGAGGAATGCATACCACCAGTCATCTAGAACATAAACCAATCTCAAGAAGCCTGTTCTTCATCATTTATGTATTGCTTTTCTGAACTACTGACTTGGTTGAGAAGCGGGGGTTGTCAGTTATGCCAAGTTCATACTGTTAGATAGCAATCATCTTGTGGGGTCATCAACATTGTCTTCTCTGTCCAGGTTTCTGTATAAATATATTTCTGGTCTGAAAGTGAATTCATATCATGTGTTATAATACCACTCACTACATGAGATGTCCATATGTCTTTACTGGGGTTCTGGAATATTTGACTACAAATCTAGATCTATTAACACAATTTTTCTGTTGTTCAATCAGCTAAATGAGAAGATATTGTGTTTCCTTCACTTTAGTGAAATGTGCAAGTCAGAGCATTTAACCAGTCACCTGACACTTATTTCATATGTAACAATTAAATCAAACGTGTCATTGACATAATTAAATAACACAAGTAATATCTTTTCATAGCTACAATACTGAAAACTGATTAACCCTGAACTGAGTAATGTACATTCAAGATAAATATTCCTATAAATAAAATTAGGCAGGAGCCTAATAATAGTAATTTCTTACAATGTGATATCATTAAGGTATTTAAAATTTTATGTTATTATTATTGTAAGAAAATTATTTAAGGTAATTTGCAAACAGAAAAATAAAAAATACGAACTTCACAGGTTCAACTATTCCCTTGTTTCCTTCCTTCCCAACTCCACCACCATTCCAACCCATCATCTGCAAAAGCTTAAATCCTATATTAGAATCGGGTATCACTTCTAATTTATCTGCAACCGACGTTACTCCTTCACCCAACTCTTCCTTGGAAACTATCTGGCCTCCATCGGCAACCAGTTGTTTCACCTTTCAATAAAAATGCTTCTTTTATATCTTTAAATGTCATTAACATAAAATTATTGCAAGTTAATACACAAATTCTAATATAATGGGTTACAAATAAATGTTTAAACATAGTCGTTTCACTGGTACTAATTTTAATTACTTGTTTACATACACGACAATCGCAAGTAAGTGAAGCATGTTCTTTCTTATCGTTATCTAACTGAATACGTAGTTTATTAAATGATACTTGAACTTATAGTATAACATAAAATTATAAGTTTCAAATTAAAATTATAGTCAGTTTTATTTTCCTTTCTTCACTTTAATGAACACGAAGTTAGAAAGCAAAGCTGTTAAGACTAATAAGCCTAAGTGACAAGAAAAACCTCTACCAGTGACTTATTTGCTGTTGAGATCAATTTGTCAACCCTTAACTATTTTTGAAATTGAGTGAAAATATAGTTTACAGTAAATTTCATAATTTTTTATTTTAGAATGATTTTTAGTGCCCCCTTGTTTTCCACTCAGTAATTAAAGTATGTGTTACCTTCTGTGTTGACAGTAAACAGTAGATGCTGCAGTAATTAAAAGTATGTGTTACTTAACTAAATTACCTTTCTGTGTTGACAGTAAACAGTAGTTGCTGCAGTAATTAAAAGTATGTGTTACTTAACTAAATTACCTTTCTGTGTTGACTGTAAAGAGTAGTTACTGCAGTAATTAAAAGTATGTGTTACTTAACTAAATTTCCTTCTGTGTTGACAGTAAACAGTAGTTACTGCAGTAATTAAAAGTATGTGTTACTTAACTAAATTACCTTTCTGTGTTGACTGTAAACAGTAGTTGCTGCAGTAATTAAAAGTATGTGTTAATTAACTAAGTTACCTTCTGTGTTGACAGTAAACAGTAGCTGCTGCAGTAATTAAAATTATGTGTTACTTAACTAAATTACCTTTCTGTGTTGACTGTAAACAGTAGTTGCTGCAGTAATTAAAATTATGTGTTACTTAACTAAATTACCTTTCTGTGTTGACTGTAAACAGTAGTTACTGCAGTAATT